CGGCGACTGCGACGCCGGCAAGAAAGAAGGACGACGAAACGAGGAGCAGCATACCAGGACTATGCAAAGTAATCGTGCCTCCGGCTCCGAAGAAGCCGCCAACCATCCCCTTAAGGACCTCACGCAGCCGAGTCTCAATGAGCCGCTGAAGCAGCATAATGGCGTCGCGCTCAAGCTCGTCCAGACGGGTAAGTGTGCTACTGCGATTCTGCACGTGGTTCAACGAAATCATTTGCATGCTAATCTTATTAAATATTTATCTAACTCGATACTATACCTCTTTTAAAACAAAATTTAAAAACTCATTGACTAAAACATTAATTAAAATTTTGATCGAAATTTTTCTCAACAAATTTTTGTATAAACGGAATTTCTTCTTTTCAAATATTTTTCAACATTTTTATTTTCTGTTTATTAAAAATATTATTCAAAATCTTCATCTTTAATGAAAAAATAAATATACGTATATATATGGGAAAAAATGGCTGTATTCTCAACAGAGAAAACAGCTATTCCAGACAGTACAGAATATTTATGATAAATATTTATGATAAATATTAATATTAATTTTTTAAAATATTATATAGATATTCCGTATATTATTTTTTATATAAAGTTTTATTCGAAATATTATTAAAATTTAGACCAAATATTTTACGTAATATTTATGATAAATATAAATAAATATTTCTAATAAGTATTTTTTACTTGGATTATAATGTCTTATTCAGTATTTTCATAGCATTTATTACAACATTTATAATAAATATTTCATAATATTTATAATAAATGTTTATGATCTGTGCACAATCTAAAACACCACAAAAATATTTACAAAATATTTAAAAGAAATCTTATAAATATTTATAAATATTTTGTAAATGTATTTTATAAATATTGTGTGCTGTGTCTGTATATATAACTGTTGTAAAATTCTTTAATACGATTAGTCTTGCCGTTAGTTCCTGACTGGATCTAAATGTTTAAATCAATCATATTAAAGAATTTTACAACAGAACAAAGTTACACACACACACACTCTCTCTCTCTCTCTCTCTCTCTCTCTCTCTCGCATCCAATGATTTTACTGAAATATCTAAAAACTTAGCTAGATACAGATCTCTGAAAATAATTTTATTGGACAATCTAAATTATTATGTATGTACGTTCAAGCAATTAAGCTCATTAGAACAAAGCTACTAGAAGTTTTGACATTCCAACAGCTTGGGCCACGTAATTATTTTCATACATAATCCTACGTAATTATTTTCGTGGTCTAACAAAATTTATTTTCAGATCTGCATCTATAGATAAACTTTGAGATACTTTAGCAAAACCGTTTTTTCTGTGTAAATAATCATTCGTGCATTATAGAAAAAAACGTGCATGAAATCTAGTGAAGTGAATTAAGTTAAAAAAAGTAACTGCGTATATTTTATCGCGCTTCCAGTATTTCCAGCTTAGTAGGAAAGAAATATGTCTACAAACTTAATCTTCAGAGGACGACGCACGCACAAAGAATCGCCTGAGCTTCTTTCACATTTTCCCAAGCGTATCTTTCCGGATTCTTTATTCGCATCCTCCAGGAGGCTAATATTCGCATAGCTAAGTTATCATCGCACATAATGTTTACGAAATTCGTAAACTGTAAAAACAAATCGGTTGGCCGACAATTCGCATTACCTACTATATAATGTACGAAATCGTATAATTCTATAACTTCGTGTTGGCAGCTTCAAACTTCGACGTGAGCTACAGTATTTCGTGTCTCGACTTGGCAGCAATTTAATAGCCGTTGAGCGAAGATGGTTTAGGTTTAAATCGGTAGACTGTATAAGGTAGATGACGTAATGACATATCTCATTATAGAAATAATATATGATTTTAAAAAAAAAACTTGTGCTGAGAATTGTAATTGAAAGTCATGGAACAGATATTTTTTATCCATTATTAAATGTACAAATTGTAAAGTAATTTTTAAATCATAAAAAGTAAGAAAAAGGAAAGTAAACTTAATTTTCTTTTCAATTTTACGGCTATTAGTGGTTTAATGTTTAATAAACTAGAAATCAATTTTCTCTTAACGACTATTTGAGAGAGAAATAATGATTCGTCATAACTTTCTAATGTTTGACATTAAATAATTCTAATTAACTTCAGGAGTTAATAACCAAATTAAAAACCTATTAATTTAAAGTGGAATTCGCTAGAATTAAAGGAAGAATATAAAGTTTCGTTATCAATTTGTGTTCTCTAGTTGACAAAAAGCAATTTACTACTCCTGATCGCTAACAACGCAAAAGCTATTAAATTCTCGACATTGTGTTATGAGAATTCTTGTCTCTAGTTTACTCAAAGAATCCATCATTAGCGGGAGAAGCGCTCTATATAAAATTAAGGGGATAAAGTTTGTGTGTGGGACTTTTACTTAATGTTATCACATCAAGATGTCAGACACCTACGTAGATCTGACGCAGAATTAATTACAGTCTTTTGTTCTCATTTACGAAATCTTTCTGCGAATATATATATATCGCCTAAACAATTCGTCACAGCTGACCTTTTTTATCCCTTCTTGACAATCGGTGTAATATTACAGGCGCGGATGAAGGGATTATGATTAATTATATTAGCTGGAAATAGCGGAGGCTAAGTAGAGTTGGCAAGCCTATTACTCCCATGAGTTCGAGACTATCGGTCTTTGTCACTTGCTCTACCTGACCTATCGACCTCGATCTTCGAACTGACACTTCATCATGAAAACTTATAAACCCTCTTTCTCGTTCAGCTGTAAGACCGCGATAAAATCCGATTGGGGCGAGTATCTCTGAACCAAGTGGAAATACGTTTGAATTTACTGAATTGCTGAGCAACTTGTCAGACTTGGGTTATTCGTTTGATTTATGTGCCCATAAATTAAAGCCGTAAATAAAACGCCAGTAAAAATACAGAATCTTATACTTTGTCGAGTAGTAGAGACTATAATATTCAAATATATACCTATGATGAAAGATTTAAGAAGTTCCAAATGCCAAGACATGGACTGAGCGAGAGTCACAATGCCAGGGAATAAAAATGCCAAGTAAAGCTACTTTTTTAAATTATTATGCGTTTGGAAAAAGATGAATTATCTTGTGCTCATTTCTGCAATTCGTGTTTGGTACCATAAAGATGTAGGTACTTGTAAAAATGAATGGCAGCTTTCTGGAGGGCTATTGGCTACGTAAAGTAGAGGAAGGTCACCGATACAGACATACCACTTTGTTTTTAGACAATATTTCTTAAACAAAAGGTAAAAATACAACTTCAAAAACATAAATACAAAGTAAAAAGTGTCTTCTATCAGATAGTATAAGCAATTTTTATAATACTGTTTGCAATTTTGCAATAATTAAGTTTTTCGTAAGTTATGCAAAAATGAGCGTCTGACAAAATGCGCTCCAAAATTAAAATAGTAGGCAATAATACCAACATTCCTATTCTATAAATAAAGATATATCCTATTCAGGGAATGAAAAGTTACTTTTTAAAAGTAACAAGTTACAGTTACAGAGAGAGAGTAGGAAAAGTAATAAGTTACCGTTACTAGTTACCGATTTTTAAAAGTAACTCGTTACAGTTACCGTTACTTAAGAAAGTAACTTTTCGTTACTTTTCCGTTACTTTTTTTTAAATCGACGACCAACAATCACAGCGGACGGGCCTAGAGGCTTCTCTAGTCTCAAGCGCATTGTAAAAAATTGTGTAAAATTACAACTTTTATCGTTACTTTGCACATGATTGAACACGATACGACACAAGCCACTTACACTGTAAATAAATTTCGCAAATTTATACATATAATAAATGTAAAATAGATTACATGATTAGTTCTGTAATTTATTATGCTGGACAATTTTGAGATCCACTATAATAGTTGTAAACGTCCACACGTTTGTAAATTTGCAATATGCAAATAAAAATAATTTTATGGTTTGGAACTAAGCAGATTGTGGAAGTACAATTACAATGTGTATGTGTAGCTACAGGAACGATAATATGACAATACATTTCGCACTATATATTATTATACATTTAACAACAATACGCGAAAAATTTCTTTTATATTACGTAATATTACTAAAATTTGGATAATTACAGAAAATATTCAAAATATCCTGCTATTTACATAATTTCCAATATAAAATAAGATATATTTACACAATAAAAACAAATTTACATAATTTTTGTGGAATTACATAATTTCTGTAAAATTACATGATTTTTTATATTTACAGAATTAATCATGTAATCTATTTTACATTTATTATATGTATAAATTTACGAAATTTGTTTACAGTGTAAGTGGCTTGTGTCGTATCGTGTCCAATCATGTGCAAAGTAACGATAAAAGTAACTGTAAAATTCGTTACCGTTACCAAAAAAATGTAACTTCGTTGCCGTTATAGTTACCAAAGAAAAAAAGTAACGCAGTTACTAGTAAAGTTACCAAAAAAGTAACTGTAACTTCGTTACAAGTAACGAGTTACTTCCATTCCCTGATCCTATTCTGTAAAGAAAACTAATTTATGAAACTATAAACATTTAAAATGACATAATATTATCAATAATACAGTCACTATTATTTTAATTACGCAATTTGCAAAAGAACACCGTAAGAATTTTCTTCTCGGATTCATAGAATTGGTTTTTAGTTGATTCGGTATAGAAATAAGCCATACAAATATATGAATTATGAGTTTGTACTTCTTTAATTAGCTAAACAGATCATGATTTTATTAGTATTAATAAAGTGCAATAGTTAGTTTCTGAGAAATAAGAAGGTGTCATTTTAGGAGACCTATGTCAGTATCGACAACTTTCCTCTATATTATTCTGTTGATCTGCCCACATCTCATGATCGTCTCGTACCAAGCACATGCATGGTAGAGTGAATCATTTGGCGTTATCTCGTCACGCGCCGTTCGACTATGCGAATTCGAGTATCTCCGACGAACATTGCGCGTTCTCGAGGAAATTCCGCGAGTTCCGTTTCAGAGGAGCGCAATCCCGCACACAAGAGCTCGTTACCGCGGTATAAATAGATCTTCGCCTCGTAGCGGATTTTAGAGTATGTATAGCAGCCTCTCTCTCTCTCTCTCTCTCTCTCTCTCTCTCTCCCCCCCTCTCTCTCGTTCGTTAAACGATC